CAGCTGGGGTAGTGTAGCACTTGTGGTCGGATAAATGAGAGTTCAGAGTGGCAAGGCAAGTTTATTTGTATAGCACAATTCATACACAAGGCAATTCAAAGTGCTGAACAAAATATGATAGCATAAATAATCACAGTACATGAAAAAGAAAGATAAAAATATAAATATAAAATCCCAATATAGGCCAATATTTTGGTGCGAGGCAATGAAGAGACTTGTAAGAAGCAGAGCTGTTTTAAAGTCTATTCTCTGAGGCACAGGAAGCCAGTGCAGAGACCTGAGGACTGGCCTAATGTGATCATGCTTCCTGGTTCTTGTCAGGACTCGAGCGGCTGCCTTTTGAATGTACAAGTGTTTAGGATTATCCTTATTTTTAATTGCCGTTTGCACTGAAACAAAGAAGAAACGACATCACTGCGCTTTCCTCGTCTGAGCACACTTTCAGTTAGGACCTCCCAAGCCCCCCCAAGCTGCCTCAACCTGCCTGCGTGGGTCACCTGAGTTTCTCCTGTCTAAAAATGTGCTAATGTCCTGGCACATTAACCAATTATCATGGGTCCCACAGTAGCTAGCTTTAAAAAATAAAAATAAAAATGCACTAGTTCCTGGCTCTAAAACAGTTTGGTTCTATCTGTCACGGTGGCAAAAGGGAATGAACCCAGAGCGCAGAACTGCAAAAGTGATGGAATTTAATAAAAGTAAACAACAAATCAAAATCCAGGGAACACAAGACAAAAAGTAAGCAAGCAGGGACTGACGACAAGAACTAGGAACGAAAGTTACGACTGTAACTACGGTTCTATGAATCCTGGATGACCCCCAGAGGCGGTGCTAAAGCACTGGATGATCACCAGAACCAAAACGGGCCAATTGAAGGGGCCAGAAGACACCTTTGGGACAAAGGACATGTCTGGCCACAGAGACACACCCAAGCCGTCAGGATGCCAACGACAACAGGCCCCGGTGACCGACAGAGCATGGCGTTCACTCACCCGCCTTCCGGAGGCCATAGCCAGAAGAAACGCGGAAGAAACAACCACTTGAGGGCAATCTCTCCCAAAGGCTCAAATGGCGGAGAACGCAGGGCATCGAGGACAACCGAGAAGTCCCAATCCGGCACCACAGGACAACAGGGCGGGTGCAACCGGCGGGCACCTTTCAAAAACAGTGAAATGTCATTAACACGACCAACACTAGTACCATCAAACCCAGCGTGCCCACATGAAATTGCAGCAACGTATACCTTCAGGGTGGATGGAAAACGGCCCCTACTGAGCAGTTCCTGAAGGAAGGACAGTATTGATGTCACCGAGCAGAGACGCGGGTTGAGTCCTCTGCCACGATACCACGCGTTGAAGAAGTTCCATTTACAGGAATCTGTAAATGGAACCCGGAAGCAACGCCCAAATGTCCCTGATACGTCGAGGCGAGGGGCGGGCAGACATCGACAGGGAATCTAGCCATGCCGAGAAACACAGCCTGCTGAGACGGCACCACATTGCTCTTCGCCAGATTCACGCGTATACCCAACCTGGTCATGTGCTCTATCACAGTCTGCGTATCCAGCAGAGACTGCTCGCAAGTGGGGGCACAGATCAGCCAATCGTCCAAATAGGGCAGGATCCTTAACCCCGTTGCCTGCAACGGGGAAAGAATTCAGAACCCCACGTCCAGAGGATTTCGACCTCTTCCGAGGAGGGTCGTCACCCAGGGCACTCTCGCGCTTGCGACTAGGGGGTCGTTTGACCAATAGAGCCGAATCGCGGTCCCCTGAATCGCTACTAGAAGGCCCATTCAGAGTCGACAGGCGGGCCACATGCACAGGCCAGGGCATCACGGCACAATTGGGACACGCACGCTCGGTCAGTGCCTCCCGCAGATGGTCCACGCCAAGACAGGAGGGACACATCACATGGCCATCGTCCTGCTGCACAGTTGCCAAACAGGACTGGCAGCTCAACGGCTCCAGCATCCCAGCAAGCGAACGGGCAGGAGCAAGTCGCTGCTAAGCACAAGGGCACTCACGGTGGGGTCAGGTTGAGCAGAGACGCTACTAGTAACCCACAGAACACGCTGAACACACACAGGAAACAGCCAATATAACAGGGTCAGGTCGAGCAGAAACGCCACCAGTAACCCACAGAAACACGCTGAATACACACAGGAAACAGCCAATATAACAGGGTCAGGTCGAGCAGAAACGTCACCAGAAACCCACAGAAACACAGGGTGAATACACGCAGGTAAATAACCAAGACAACAGGGTTAGGTCGAGCAGAAACGCCAACAGTAACCCATAGAAACACGCTGAAAACACACCGGGAACAGCCAATATAGCAGGGTCAGGTCGAGCAGAAATGCCACTAGTAACCCGCTAAAACCAACGCAGCACCGCAAAGCAATTAAGGCAACGCAGCAGGGCCGTGTCGGGCAGAGACACGACTAGCAACCCACAATACAGGCCACAACTAACACCAGCGGTATAATGTAACAACAAACACCGTGATGGAAAATAAGAATCAACGCCGAAGCGGAACAGCGTAGCAAATGCTAGCACACTAAACGTGAAGCCAAAGTGGCAATGACAACGAAAAACTACCGAACACAATGTCACGGCGAATAAGCAATATAAATGCCGCGCTACATTCACCAGAGGATGAATGTAGCGCGGCTTGCTCAGCCCACGGAGGGCGAGAAACTCGCAGCACCGACTGACAAGCAGTCATGGGGCTACAGGCAGCAAGCAGCGCAAATAGCAGTGGCACAAACAGCTAACCGTTAGCTTAGCCAGACTCAAACAACCAGCATGCGAGAAAGTGAAAAGGGACTGTGCTTCCAGAGTCACGTGGCTTTATAGACTCATTTTAGCTGCCGGAGGTCACGGGTGACTTTGTTGTTAGTTGACTGTCGACCTGCGCATGCGCGAGGATGATCATCCAGTGCTTAAGCACCGCCTCTGGCCGTCAGGAAGGATGAATAGAACACGGAGTGAAGGAAAACACAAGGTTTGCATAGACAAGACTAATGAGGCACAGGTGAGACACATGAGGGCGGGGCTGGCAATCAGGAAACAGGAAGTAGAACCACAGGGTTAACAGGACACAAAGTAAAACAGGAAGTAAACCTAAACCATGACACTATCACTAGTTTTTACCTTCACATATTTTTGGCCTCTTGTCACATCTTTAGATTGGCTTTTTCAGATGGAAAAGTGAACAATCCCAAAGAGTCAAATAGTGACTCAAGGGCTCTTTCTTAAAAGTATGCAAACTAAAAATGTTTTCTGATAAGATAGACACCGCATGTTGTGATCTATTTTGGTCCCAATATTTGATTTTCACAAAACTGTGAAAGAACATGTGCTAGTTATGAAGAAAAAGAAACAGGTACCCCAGCTTTAAAGGAGCAGTATGTAGTACCTGCCCAAAAGTGGTACTTCAATCTCTGACTCAGGTTGCCAGATATGCAGACGAATCAAGCTAGGACCATAATATCTGAATATGCAAGAGATTTGTCAACAACAAATCTATAACCAACACTTTTTTTCCCAAAGGACCCGATAGAAATCCTCCTTTTGTTCCTTGTTTTGTCATTAATATTTGAGAATTGAAACAAGACCATTTTCTGCAGCCACATGTTACTTTACCAGTGACATTAGGTCGACGGAGTGAGTTCTGGCAACCCAGATTTTACCTTTCTGATTGGTAAAACGGTGGCGGACGGGACATCAAAATGAAAACAATAACAGGATTTAGGGGCTCTGAAACTCATTTTGAAATCCCAATATCTCAGTTTAACTACTGTTATCATTTAAGTAAGGGAAAACGTATATTACGCAGGTCATTATCGGAAAATAAGTACAGACAGGCCGAAGCGGACCCCGGATTTTGACGTAGATAAATATTATTTTTGTCATGAAGACAAGACCAGTAAATTCTGAAAATCTCCGTGCACGTGTGTGAAGAATGTATATGTATAAGTATTCTCTGATTAACATTTAAATGTGTTGATTGATTGGTATTTGCGTTTATTGAGCGTGGCTAGCTCCGGAGTGGCCGGAACTACTTGCGGAGTTATCCACGCATCTGAAATACAAGCAGAGAGTGCGTTGCCATGGGCAGCGGTCATTATTGTTTTGAGAGGTCCGTTATAGAAAATAATGACCGGTAGAACGTTTTGAAATTACATTCAAATCAATGGCGCGTTCTACTGCTGCTGTGAGGAGCCGTATAATAAAGAAGTATAATGAAAAAAAGCATGGTTTATTAATGCTTTTGACAGATTAAGGCCATTCAATGAGGACTTGACAGGAAAATCTCATTTGACAGGGACATTGCACAATACATTTTTCAGACTAGGCATAATTTTCATCCGTATTCCTTGAGCAGAGGCAAAGTGACGGCAAGTTTACAGTTGGCACAGAAATGAATAGATACAATGGCCTAGTCGGAATTTAAAATACAGGTAAAATGCACCATCCCTAACCACAAAGACACATGAGAATTACCCTCTGCTTTTCTGTGTTCATTTATAATGTGAGTGTATATTCCCTTGTGCTGCAGGCTGGACTGGTGTTGAGTGAGGAGGATGCATTGATCAGTTTTGTGTTGTGTTTTACATATGCGATTGTTGACGTGCTCGAAGTGCCTAGTCAGACAGCATGCTTTTATGCTTTACACTTGTATCTGTATCCCTGACACAAGGAGTACATATTGTTCATATTTGGCCTGTTCTGATCAAAATGTGAATACATATTTATTTTTGATTTCATGAGCTTGATTAGATTCTCCTAATCTTAAAGAATGGACATGATGGGCACATTTTTTGTGATATTTCATATCATGGTTCTCAAGATTATTATCCAATGAGAAAGCCAAATTATCATCACACAAGTATTTTCAGTCTTGTTGATGTGTGTGTATCTACATCAGCCGTGTCTGACATTGGTCAACAGACACTTCGAGCACGTCAACAAATTTGTGAATAGCATAAACAAACCCATGGCGGCGATAGAGGAGACCAGCACTAGTGTGAGCTCCTGTGGTTCAATAGAGCATTTTTTAATCGGATGAATTATGACTGCTGACGAGTTTGTTTGTGCCACAGAGTGTAAACAGTGACGGTGAGGGCCCTGTGAATTTCAAGAGTTCTCCGGAGAATAGACTGCTGATAAAGCGGATGCTCATTAAGTGTGCAGATGTGGCCAATCCCTGCTGACCTTTGGCGCTCTGCATCGAGTGGGCAGGACGGATCTCTGAGGAGTACTTTGCGCAGGTTGGTGCTCTAAACACTGGGATTGTTCTTTTCTTTTTTTAAATAGAAGTGTATTTGTTGACCGTTATCTGGAAAGCCGCACTGAATCTCTTTTTCTGGAGAGTCCTGGTCCCTGAGAGAGAGAGGGAGTGGGGTCTGGGAAAGCCCCGGCGATCCAAGATGGCGCCGTATTCAAATGAATGGTTTGTGCTCAGTGGCGCATTGTGCCGACATGGGCCGCGAAAGATTAGCGGAACTCGCCTGGAACTCGCAAAGATCCATGGGAAATTCGTCTGAATTTGGGCATCGTCTGGTCCTCCCGGTTCTGCGCAGTGGATGATCTCCCACGATGCATTCGCCAAATACGCGTTTGTGGCTGTCATGCACGTGCACAGAGGGGCTCGGCCGCGCTTTGACCAATCAGAGCTGCTCATCAGAGGAGTTAGTTCGGGAGCCAGACAGGCAGAGATTTTGGCACTAAAGTGTGGATTTAAAGAAAACCGAAGGATTTAGCTTCAGAGTGTCAGTCAAGCTGCATAGGGAGTCAGTTTGCTGGAGAAGTATGGTAACTTGAGCACTATCCTCTCCTCCTTCCTACTTTATCTGTTTAGCATTTTTAGGATTCTGACTGTAGTTTGTTCATTGCTATTCACCCGTTGTCCCATTGTCTGTTTCATGGTACGATGACGGGATCTCTGAGCCTGGCCTCTTCCATCTACACCTGCGGACTGCCCCGCCCGACCCGCCTGGGAGTGCTTCGGTCCTGCACCGGACCTGTCCACGTTCAGCGGCCACTGGTCCACGTTCTGTAGCTAGCTTAGGTCCTAGATCATTAGCCTGTCCGTCCGGAGGAGCGGATCCCTTTCTCATATGGGTCTCCCTCCCTGTGGGTTTCGCTAGTGCTCCCCAAGGTTTCTCACGTTTTCCCACTGGGTTTTTTAAGAGTTTTTCCTTGTCGATGCAGGAGGGTCTTGTTGGACAGTTAGTGTCCAACAGAAAGGATTGGTGATGATCAGGACACTTTAGCATTCTACAACATGTATGGGCATTTTCTTCTGTGTGTGCTTTATATTCTCCATGTGTTTTAACTGTTGATTCTCTGACCTGTGTTGGTGATTTCAATGGTTTTGTTAAGTCCTCTGAGATGACTTCTGTTGTGACCTAGGGCTATACAAGAATAAATTGTATTGTATTGTATTGTATTGTATTTAAGAAGAAAAAAAGGTCAGGATGACAAGGGACACTAAAATCTCCACAAAACCCGACCTTTATGAAAGCTGTAGGTTTTCTGTCAGCTGAGGTCGTGCTGTTTTAATTTACATGGAGTTCTATGCGGAAAACTTCTGGGTAGCCCACATGAATTTAGTCTGGTTTAGTCTGCAGTACCGAAAGAATCCCCCGAGCACATGGGTTCTTCAGCTCCAAGATAGTCATACCCTATCCAGTTATTACAATAGATCCATGGGTCTGGGAGGTTGATATGTGGGACTATTGCACATGCAAACTCCTCACAAAAAGACCTTCTTGCTCCATTATTTATGTGAATTATTAATGTAATTTTCAAGACAAATTTAAGAAAAACAATGCAGTCTTGTTAAAACTTTAATAGAATAGAAATAACAGTAGCTACTTCCTGCTTATCAATACATCACACACAAACACCCATATTGAAGCCTTATATAGTCTGTTTATGTGTATAGATCAGACCTGGGCAAACTGCGGCCCGGTGGCCACATGCGGCCCGATTCTCATTTCTATGCGGCCGGGCCCTTGCCAGCTCAATACTCATTATACTAATATTGAATAACTGTATAAGTGCTACTGTGGCCTATTAGACATTTATTCTGTTCTCATTAATGAACCCAAACTGTTTTTGGTTATAATTTGCGCTAAAGAAAATGTCAGAGAAAACACTGGATATGTTCATGTGATTATGAAACAAAATATATATATTTAAAAAAATTTAAATACAGAGTTTGAATCAATCAATGTTTATTTGTAGAGCGCCTTTGCTACACAAGGCAACACAAACTAAATCACATCGGGCATTAATCATAAACATTCAAATCTACATTAATATAGGAAAAATATATATGATTAAAATCCCACAAGATTTAAAAAAAAATTTGATCACAAGAAATATGAAGAACATAAATAGCCATAGTGAATTATTAGATTAAATAAGAATTTAACCACACAAAATTAGCTCCGGCCCTTGACAACAGAGTGGTATCCCAATGTAACCGCCTGAAGAAAAGAATTGCCTAACCCTATGGCACAGAATAATATCTTAATGTCATTTCTTTTGTTTTCCACAGACAGATGAGGAGAAGAGACTGGGGCTGCCCGTTGTGATGCCTGTGTTCGACAGAAACACCTGCAGCATTCCCAAATCTCAGATCTCTTTTATCAACTACTTCATCACCGACATGTTTGATGCTTGGGACGGTAGGATCCTCAGTCCATACACACACACACACACACACACACACACACACACACAGGTTGTTTTTGGCCCTTTTTCATATGACTTTAATTCATCACAAAGTTCAGGCAAGGTTCGGTATTCCTACTGGTTTTGTCGAAAGAAATATTTGGATTTATGGCTTTTTCCAAACGTTTTTCTTCTTCCATTTCCTTTGCGCTTCCACTCGATGAAGTCTTCTCCCCGACGGCGACAGGATTGTTCATGAGGCTCAGGGCTTTGGCTTCGGAACGCTCTTTCCACGCTCACACATGAGACATTTAGAAAGCCATGGTCCCACTTTTTACTTTTCCTCAATCTTAAAATATTTATTAGTATCAGAATCAGAATAGATTTTTTGCCATTGTGACTAACAGAAAGTAACAAAGAAACATAACAAGAAAATAAAAAATCAACGAAGCATTTCTTAAAACGATCACTCCTCTGACCTGCTCCAGTGCTGCTCACTGATTGGTTGCCGCTGTCTTTGGTCCAGAAGTCGAGTGGCTACCGTCCATTTGCACCGGCACATGACCTCATTTACTCTGCATGGACCTAACTCTAACCATTGGTCTGGTGGGAGAAGGTCTCACGTCTCCTCAGTGTGGCGTCTGTGTTCAGGAAAAGCAGAGCGTTTTGGTAAAAGGGCCGAACATTTCACTGTGACAAAGATTTCTTGCATTTGTACAGTATAAGACCTGCTATTATTTTACTGCTGGAGAAGTGGTTAACATTAGAACAGAAGAGCAGTCAATTTGACACCTGTAATGACCCTTGTACATTTTTGGATCTTCCACATGTTTTTATGAAATTACCTTTTAAATTTGAAATGAAGAGAATTCACTGGTAACCATAGCAACATACTGTTAACTTGCTACCAGTTAGCATTAGCTTTTCAACACACTTTTTCTGTATTTAAAGTTACATTCACAGATTTTTCCACTTAGAATAAAACTTGAATAAAACTGAACTCACTAACTTTTCAGATTTCTGGTAGTTTTATACTTGGAAGTCATACCCATCATAGTGTTGCAGGTTTTCACATATTCCCATGTGTTCATTTGGTTTTTTAGCAATAACAAAAAGTTCAGAATTTTGAATTTTTCTATTCCCCTTTCCCACTGGATTACTCTTCGGTCTGGTCTCCCCAGGAGCAAACATGTTTGCTGTCAACAGAGCAGTGATGTCACGGAAAGATTCACTGAAAAAGACGAAGAGAACGAGGGATAAACTAAATAATGGTCTAGAGCGAAAACCTGCATTGCTTAACACTTGAACTCCTAAGAGAGTCAATTTGACGGCTTTTAGTTTTGAAAAAAAAAGCAAGCATACATGTTTGATCTTTGGCTTTTTCTTTTTCTATTATGTAGTTCGTTTGTACACCATTATTTTTTTTAGGAAATTATCTTTTATCCTTTATTATGAGCAGTTAGTTACCGTAGTTACCATCTGGGTTTCAAGTTATATTCACCAGTCATAGCTCTTGGTAAAAGTGAGTTAAAGTTTAAAAAAAAAATACTGGTGGGAAATTGAACATTTTTGCGAGAATTTCTCATGAATTCCAAAGGGAGCAGTCAAAATGACGGCTCTGGGAGTTCTAGTAGTTTGACAATTCTGGGAGTATAGTGTTAATCACAAACAAGCACAAAACAACTTCATATTTTGCTCATAGCCCTTCTATTAAAGTTTTTTTATTATAGGAATGATTGTGCTACTGTATCTTTATCATATTTTGGTTATTTCTGAAACTTGGTGTCCAGCTGCTGCAGGACACTCAATACTGGGTCGCTCACTGCAGCAGGGTCACCAGCAAGCGGAAATGAGCAAATAAACAAAACGTGAGGGAAAAGGGTTGATTGCCCTGGAAGTATGTGTCCCTATGAGCCCCAGGAGAGACTCATGTTGTTCTCACAGACACTTAACTTACTAAAGCAGTGTTTCTCAAACTGGGGGCCTCTACTAATAGCACATGGGCACGTTTTCAGTTCATTTTTTTTTACAGTTGATATAGATAAACTGGAATAACAGACAGCCAAACATTTAGATATGATTGTATTTGGTAGACAAAGTATTATTGTCGATGAAAAGTGTTAAGATCCTATAGTTCCTACAGTGGGGAAATTTCAGTGTTGCATCAGCAAAACAAAATAAAATCTCTAACTTTAGCATAACAAGAAGCAAGTATACAATTTCTAGCTTTAGCATAACAAAGTAACAAGGATTAAGTACAAAGATATAGCCACTGTACTGGAGTATTGTTGTGTTTGTAAAGTAAAGTAACTAAACTAACTTGGCCAATTTTTTTCTTTCAGCTTTTGCAAATCTGCCTGGCCTCATGGAGCATCTGTCGGATAACTACAAATACTGGAAAACTTTGGACGAGATGAAGTGCAAAAGTCTACGCCCTCCTCCCTCGTCATGACCAGACATCTTGATTTGTTGATTTGGGGGCGGATCCAGTAAAAAAAACAAAACCTTGAATTTCTTCAGATGTCTTTGGAGAGATTCCGGAGCTGGAGCCGACCTTGTGAGCTCAAGGTTTCAAAAACTTGGTTCACATCTGTGTTGTCCGACTGAAGACGCCTCTTTCACAGAGACTTCTGTGTTAAGAATCTCTAAGAACAAGAACTTTGCAGCTCACCTGACAATCCATACAGAACGATTTACAATCCTGCACTTTAACCAGTCTTTAAGCTTCGTCGAGCTTTTTACGTCTTTCAAATACTCATTTTGCTTGTTGCTATGATACCAAGAGGTGACCAAGGCCGTGGGACGCATTTCCAAATCGCCAACTACACATGAAGGTGCTCATTGGCTCACAAGCTGCAGAGAAGTTTAGCGATACGTGTTTATTTATATTGTGCTTTTAAGAGACAACTTGTCACAAAGTGCTTCACAACAATGAAAGACTAAATTAAACATCATGGTTTTAGTTGTACATTATACATATATATATTATTGACTGTATATTATTGGAGGCTCCAGGCTGAACAATAGGGGTTCTCAAGGTCAGCCTATACGTGTACGATAACAAGCAAGAATTTAGGAACTCAGCTGCAGGTTTGACGACATTAATGGTGTATAGGAGGATTTTCCCAAATTTTAGGAAAGAACCGCCCTCTTCACTTTTTGAACAAACTCGAACTGGTTTTATATGTGTCACCAGAATGATTGACAATTAGGAGGACCAACAGTTTTTACGATCCACCCGAAAGTAGAAAATCCTCCTTTATACCTTTAACGTAACATATGGCCCCAAACAACCTGCACACAATGGAAAAAACGCCTTAGATTTCAATGAACGTTATAGTTTTTTTCTATCAATACTCAGATTTAAATCAATGATACTATTATATTTTGGATAGGGGGACTTTATTTTCTTTCCTCCGCATTTCATCCGTCAGTGTCACTGGGGAAACAGGAGCAATGCTGGGTCCTGGGCTGGAGTATTTACCATATGGTGCATAATTTGTGTTGAGAAAGCCCAGCCACAGGAAGAGAAATAACCTCGTCCATATGTTTTTGTTTGGTCAGGAAATAGCTTCAAACATTGCAATCTCCATAGAAACAAGGAATTTGCTTGTCAAATTAGCATCTGTTATATTTTTCTGGACTTGATTTTATGAAAATAGGATATGTTTGTACCCTACTGTGAAATATTCCTGGCCACATGCGCAGGTGATGGACCCAGCATGAAACACTAAATACATTTTAAAGAACTGTACATTTTAAATCATGTAGCCAACACAGACAGTGCACTGTAACAGGAATGAAAGTGTCACCAAAGACAGAACACCAACTGTAGACCATTATCGTAACCTGTAATAATAATAATAATAACAATATTTCAGACAGAAGGGCTTATTATATGTTAAAATTGAAAGAAAAAAAAATCCCTTTATCATCCCACAATTTGTGTCATTTAAATAGTTAATTTGCAAAAAAAGGCTTACAGATTTACTTCTTGCGCAAATCCTTTCAAATGTACAACAATAACAAAACATGTTGAAGATTGGAGAAAGAGGAAAACAACTTTATTTGATACATTCAGAACGGAGGTATCTGTTTTTGCAAATGAAATGAAATCCTCAATTCTAGTCCAGGGTTGCCCTCTAGTGGTTTTCATGAGTGTTGCAGTGGGAGAGGACATGGAAGCTGAGCATATTTGAAATATTGAGACGTGTTTTTTTCTGTAAAGGACACATTGGTGAACAGTATTGTATTAGCACCAAATCAAGAATGTGGATCAAGGAAATGTATTAACACTAGCACTAGAAGTATGAAACTGCTAGAGCTCCCAGAGCCGTTTTTTAACTGTTCCCATTCAAATCACTAGAATTCTGAAATGTTGTGCGTTTACCATCCGTTTTATTCCAATTACCCTTTACTCTGGTGAATTTAACTTGAAATACAAAAAAAAACAGCTTGTTAAAAGGCTAATGCTAACAGGTAGCAAGTTAACAGTCTGTTGCTATGGTTACCAGCGCTTGCTTGTTTCTATTTTCAATTGTTATTATTATTATTATTATTATCATCATTATTATCTATTTCAAAATTAAAAGATAATTTCATACAAATGATGAGAGAGAAACAAACTATATTAAAAAAGTCACATGCTAACAGAAAGCAAGTTAATAGTATGTTTCTATGGTTACCAGCGCTTGCTCTTCTCTACTTCTCCATTTCAAAATTAAAAGACAGTAAAATGAATAAACAGAAATGAACTATATAAAGAAACAGAAAATGTCACAAAGTTAGGAAGATCAAAAATGTAGATGAGCTGAGTCATTACTCTTCCCAAAACTAAAAGCCGCCAAATTGACTGCTCTGGGAATTCTCTATGGATCTTTATAATGACCAGGACTGTGTTATATGGTTTAAATTACATAATGGTTATACATTTCCAATCCAAACAGAATCCAAGTAGACCTAAAGAAACATGGACCCCTTTGGAAAGATGTTGACTGTGTTTAAGGTTGTGTTGTGTTTGCACTGTGTAGAATGGATATAATGTATGTATAAGTGTTTTGATTTCTGGAGAATTGTTTATCTTTATTTAAGCTGCAGTTTTTTTGTTTTGGTTTTTTTGATGGACCAGACATAAATCAACGCCTTATTCCTGCCAAGTCTCATTCTAGGCCTGCTACTGACGCAACACTCTGTAATCTAGCTAATGTCCCTGCTGATTATGTCCATTATCTGCTCATTCATCACTTGCTTTGTGCTACACACCAACATTAGTGCTGCTGTTACGCGAGGCAGGGACTATTGATGATGAACAATTATTTTTGCTAATTTATAATAGAGATTTCTATTTAAAAAAAATGCAATGAGTTCTGATTTCTATGCCTTTTGTGAGCTGTATGACTGGAATGTGATGATCCTGATTAGGACGTGCAAGAGGAGCCTGTGTATGGATCTGCCTTCAACATGTAGCAGCAGACTATGTGCCAATTATGTGATTCTGTTTAGAGACGTATTATAACTATAGAGAAAACCTGTTTCTTTGTCTGCACATGGTTTTTGATCATTTAGAACGGTCAGATTTTTGAAGGAATTATGCATTCAAATAAATAAAGATTACTTACAAGTTTTTATCAAATAAAAAACAACAAACACACTTGCTTTACGATGATGTACTTTTCATTCATTTCATGGTGGTAATAAGCTACTGCTTGAGCCACAGCTGTGGCCTGTTGCTAAAATCTACGATAATTTACGATACTTTTTAAAAATGTATCTATTTGGATCAACATTAGCTTCCACAAGTGGTCGCTATTCTTGCTGGGGTCCACTCCACATCAAATCAATTCACATTACAACATTTCAAACATACAGTGTAAAAAGCGACAAACAAAATGAACTGAATAAACATTTCACACCTTCAACATTTAATCAAACGTTGCTTTATTTTTTTCCTTAAAAATATATCTATTATTAGTTTTCCTTGATCCCCATAGGGACATTGTTCTTGGCATTTGACAATCATTTAGGAAAAAAGTGTCAAACTCTTTCCAGAAAAGGCGGGTGTGGCTGCAGGATTTGTTTTCATCCAAGCAGGAGCACACCAGACTCCACCCATGTGACACTCCTGTGCTATTGCTTGGCTGGAATGAAATCTTGCAGCCACACCCGCCCTTTGAGGACCGGTTTGACAGCCCTGCTTTAGCGTCTCTGTCAGAATGTGGTTGGTTGGAAAAGCAGGAAGTTGGCACGTTTGGCACTGCTCAGCCAATCAGAGACAGGCTCTCTGGACGGTGGTGCTACCAAAGCAATTATTATCATTTCTTTGATTATTTTGTGTGGCACATTTTATATTTTACTAATCACGTTTGTCACACACGTTTGGTCCTTGTCGGTTTTTATTACTCTAACTCGGACCAAACCCTGGTCCTGAAGTCTAAACCAGACCCGGTCCAGAACGGTGGAGCTGAGTGTAGCCAGTAACTGCAGTGAATTACACTGGACTGAACCAGAACTCTTTTCAGCCAGAAAACTCACAATAAACCTGAATTTACCCAAAATCAAAACAAACCGATTCAAGCCACAAGCTCTGAGGCAGACTGCCGTAGGCGTGGCTGCCCCAGGACATCTGAATGTTCTGTAAGGAGGACATGGACACAGAAAGGCAGATCCAGGTCAGGGATCGAACATACAGGCACCAAAAACACACTTTCATTGACAGATACTGATACGTCCTGGACCACTACAGAGGCACATTTCACATTCATCAAAACAAACGTATATTAAATTGCATTGAGTGGTAGGACAAAAATGTTTGCAGGCATTCATAAAAATAATAAATACATTCAACAAGACAAAAAAACCTCTAAAAACAGCAGACTCGATATACAAGCTCACAGTGACCCGTTTTCCTCCAGCTTTTGGAAAAGTGCAATGCTCCGAAGATGTGACTGTCTTTCTCCGTTCTTCCACAAGATCAACAGGTGATCGGCGGAACACGTCACCAAACCGTTCTCCTTAAAGCTCACGAACATCTGTCACACACACAGCAGCCAACATTAATGTGATATAGTGTTGTGTTGTATGATATGTATAGTATTATCAGAGCAGAGTGTGTCTCCATATTTATGTCTCATACCTGGATGGCTCCAGAATGGCCAATCAAGTCACCCACCAGCTCCAGCCTCTTCAGGTCAGGGATGTCAAAAACCTTTTTTGACTGGGGCCCCGGCTGTTTACTCGAACGCCCAAAAGTCAACATTCCAAAAAATCCTGATTAATAAAACAAAAAACATGACTTTATAACCACAGTGCTTGTACAGAATTTGGAATATAAACCACTACTGTCTTCAATGTATGTTTTTTTTTTTGTTAGACCGCCCCCTAGAGGATAAAACAAACTCCACAGCTAATATAATGACGTAGCACGCATTCTTCCTCTTGGTGTGTTTATGTGAACAGCAGAGAGAGCAGGGAAATTCACAGAACTTATTTTTAGGGCTAAGTTTTAGTATGAATGGGAAATGTAGTTTTATTGTCAACATGAGATTTAATAGAGTGCTTTGATCCAAACTACGCAGTCAAATACAGAGAGATAATAAATCCCAAAAGTCAAAGTGCATGTGTCCCGGGGCGCGGTGGAACCATGTCACTGAACAATGACAGATAGAAAGTAGAGTTCACCTGCGGAGGCGGGTTCAGCCGGTGGTGGCAGGTCCTGGATCTCCCACAGTCTCACACTTCCATCTTCAGAGCAGGACAACAGTTCACTGCAAAAAACAACACATGAAATACATTATCACAAACATTGTCTAGAGAAAAATACTTCCCATTGTGGAGATAAGGCTGGCACCATCAGCACAATCTTTTAAAATAACCCACTTTAACCCATTTTAATGAAATGAAAAAAGTCTGTTGATACATTTGGTTTGGTGTAAGTTTAGGTTTAGTTTGAGGGAGCTCTGAGTTTTGCGTTTCTGAAAAGAGTTTAGGTTCAGGTTCAACATGGACCAATCAGCAGAGAGCATACTGACATGTGGCAAACATGTACTATCTTTTGGGTCAGGACCTTAAAAAGATTCAAAATAATCTAATGATTTGTAAAATATGTGAAAGTGCATCACATGAATATTTATGTAAATTCTTATATTAAAAACATACTCAAACTCAACAATACAAGTCGTATATGTTACATCTAACAGTGTTATATTTGTCTTTGTTGTGTACATTTAGAAGCAGCATTTTGATATTTCAGCTTCCATACAGGACAGTAGAAAGAGCACATTTGTGAGGAACACACAAAATATACAGAGATAAGAAGCTGTGAATGCTTCATAATCAGAGTTACCTGTCAGAAAGCAGCATGGTGTGTAAAACATTGGAGTCATGAGCCACCTTCCTGTAGGCCACCACGGTCCTCGTGAGGACACTGTACACATACAGACCACAGCCCACCGCTGCCAGGACCAGCTGTGGAAACACATCGCACTTGTTTTTAACCCTTTAGAGATAAACAGACCAAATATGGGAACCCTGAAACTGTGTTAGAGACAGAGGACAACTACAATTATAAAAACAGAAACATATAAAAACTAAGTTATCTTTATTTTTAGTTGCACAAAGGTCACACCCAAAGCGTTTTAATATTTTTTTGTGGCTTTTGGTCATTTCCATTCACTCCATCCATTCACATCCAAACACACGAGAAGCGAGACCCCACTCAGTCTCTCAAGTTACATTCAGACCTATTTTCCCTGTTTTTAGTGGAAGTGAAAACATGCAAACTCTCAATATAGAAAAAGGTCTGGAGGTGGAATCAAGAGAGTCAAGATGGGCCAGCTTTAAAAAGTAAGAGCAGATGGGGATAAAAAGTGGTTTATTTTGAAGGTATTTTGACTAATTGTTCTTAATTAGATTTAATTCAATTTATTTGTAGATGTAACTGGTCATAACATGATTTAATGACACTGCGTTTTAACACACTGTTGACGTGTGATGACCAGAGAGAGAGAGACCAGAGAGAGAGAGACTAGATCAGGGGTCTCCAACCTGTAGCTCGGGAGCCACCAGTAGCTCGCCAGCCTCTTACAGGCTACAGCTCGCCAAAGAGAGTTAGAATTTGACAAATACACTTCAACGAATACTTTTTGACCCATTACATATCTATTATAAGTATAAATATAGGGTTATACAGTATTATGGTGTATTTTATGTGTGTTCTCTGAGTTTGGTCATAATTATTAGATCGATTTTTATTACGACTGCAAAAAGGAGTAGCTCTCTGCCTGTTTGTTTGTATGAAAGTAGCTCTCCGATTGAAAAAGGTTGGAGACCCCTGGACTAGATAGAGACCAGAGAGAGACCAGAGAGAGACCAGAGAGAGACCAGAGAGAGACCAGAGAGAGTCCAGAAAGAGACCAGAGAGAGACCAGAGAGAGACCAGAGAGAGACCAGAGAGAGGCCAGAGAGAGTCCAGAGAGAGACCAGAGAGAGACCAGAGAGAGACCAGAGAGAGACCAGAGAGAGACCAGAGAGAGACCAGAGAGAGACCAGAGAGACCAGAGAGAGCAGAGAGAGACCAGAGAGAGAGACCAGAGAGAGACCAGAGAGAGACCAGAGAGAGACCAGAGAGAGACCAGAGAGAGACCAGAGAGAGACCAGAGAGAGACCAGAGAGAGACCAGAGAGAGACCAGAGAGAGACCAGAGAGAGACCAGAGAGAGACCAGAGAGAGCCAGAGAGAGTCCAGAGAGAGACCAGAGAGAGACCAGAGAGAGACCAGAGAGAGAGAGACCAGAAAGAGACCAGAGAGAAACCAAAGAGAGAGACCAGATAAACCAGTGAGAGAGACCAAGAGATATATTTTTTGAACATGAAATTAGGGTCACCTGAATGTTAGCCTCGCTTAGATAAAACGCAGAGAGAGAAGTAAGAGAGAGGCCCAGAGCTAGCATCACCGGACTCACGTTATAGCTCTGATCTGGCGACGTCAACAAACCGCAGAAACAGCGTGTCCCGACGGTCCCGGGAACAGCGTCAACGCAAACGTACAGACTGAGCAGTAATATTTGTGCATAAACTCAAACCCAAAGCGACAGGGCAAGGTGCAGGACCAGCTCCGCTCTCAGCTCCGCGGTCTGTTTCCACACGGGCGGATGTTAGATGCGGCACCGCGTTACGATGGCAACCGACAACTGTTAGCTTGTTAGCCTTATTAGCCTTGTTAGCTTCGTGTGTGAGTGTGGCTAACCCTCATATCATGTCGCTCACCAGCACGGATTATAGTATCGCCTGTTCTTGTGGCTCTCTCTCTGTCTCTCTCTCTGGTCTCTCTGGTCTCTCTCTCTTGTTCTCTCTCTCTCTCTTCTTTCGCGCTCTCTCTCTCTCTCTCTGGTCTCTCTCTCTGGTCTCTCTCTCTCGCTTCTCGCGCTCTCTCTCTCTCTCTCTGGTCTCTCTCTCTCTTGGTCTCTCTCTCTCTCTCTCTTCTTTCGCGCTCTCTCTCTCTCTCTCTGGTCTCTCTCTCTGGTCTCTCTCTCTCGCTTTCGCGCTCTCTCTCTCTCTCTGGTCTCTCTCTCTGGTCTCTCTCTCTCTCTCTGGTCTCTCTCTTGTTCTCTCTCTCTCTCTTTCGCGCTCTCTCTCTCTCTCTCTCTGGTCTCTCTCTCTCTCTCTCTCTTTGCGCTCTCTCTCTCTCTCTGGTCTCTCTCTCTCTTTCGCGCTCTCTCTCTCTCTCTCTCTGGTCTCTCTCTTGTTCTCTCTCTCTCTCTTTCGCGCTCTCTCTCTCTCTCTCTGGTCTCTCTCTCTTTCGCGCTCCTCGCTGGTCTCTCTGCTCTCTCTCTCTCTCTGGTCTCTCTTGTTCTCTCTCTCTCTCTTCGCGCTCTCTCTCTCTCTCTGGTCTCTCTCTCTCTTTGCTCTCTCTCTGGTCTCTCTCTCTTGCTCTCTCTCTCTCTCTCTCTCTTGTTCTCTCTCTCTCTCTTTCGCGCTCTCTCTCTCTCTCTCTGGTCTCTCTCTCTCTGGTCTCTCTCTCTCTCTTTCGCGCTCTCTCTCTCTCTCTCTCTCTCTGGTCTCTCTCTCTCTTGCTCTCTCTCTCTCTCTGGTCTCTCTCTTGTTCTCTCTCTCTCTCTCTTTCGCGCTCTCTCTCTCTCTCTCTGGTCTCTCTCTCTCTTGCTCTCTCTCTCTGGTCTCTCTCTTGTTCTCTCTCTCTCTCTTTCGCGCTCTCTCTCTCTCTCTCTGGTCTCTCTCTCTTGCTCTCTCTCTCTCTCTCTGGTCTCTCTCTTGTTCTCTCTCTCTCTCTCTCTGGTCTCTCTCTCTTGCTCTCTCTCTCTCTCTGGTCTCTCTCTTGTTCTCTCTCTCTCTCTCTGGTCTCTCTCTCTTGCTCTTTCTCTCTCTCTGGTCTCTCTCTTGTTCTCTCTCTCTCTCTCTGGTCTCTCTCTCTTGCTCTCTCTCTCTCTCTTTCGCGCTCTCTCTCTCTCTCTCTGGTCTCTCTCTCTTGCTCTCTCTCTCTCTCTGGTCTCTCTCTTGCTCTCTCTCTCTCTCTTTTGCTCTCTCTCTCTCTCTCTGATCTCTCTCTCTTGCTCTCTCTCTCTCTCTCTGGTCTCTCTCTTGTTCTCTCTCTCTCTCTTTCGCTCTCTCTCTCTTGCTCTCTCACCAAAATATATTAGTGACATGTTAGTACCATACGAACCAGCCCAGGCTCTGAGGAGCACAGGGACTGGACTCCTGCTGGGACTCTGAGGAGCACAGGGACTGGACTCCTGCTGGGACTCTGAGGAGCACAGGGACTGGCCTCCTGCTGGGACTCTGAGGAGCACAGGGACTGGCCTCCTGCTGGGACTCTGAGGAGCACAGGGACTGGACTCCTGCTGGGACTCTCGAGGAGCACAGGGACTGGACTCCTGCTGAGACTCTGAGGAGCACAGGGACTGGACTCCCTCCTAGGAGCACAGGACTGGGACTACTGAGGAGCACAGGGACTGGACTCCTGCTGGGACTCTGAGGAGCACAGGGACTGGACTCCTGTTAGTGCCCAGAGTCAGAACTAAACTTGCTTTCTCTCTCTCTCTCTCTCTCTCAGTCTCTCGCTCGCTTCCAGTCTCTTGCGAGAACTCTTTCGTTCTCTTTCTCTCTCTCTCTCTCTCTCTCTCTTTCTGACAAAACAGTGTCAAAAAACGGAAAATCATGAAATAATAAATTCGAAGAAGTTCTCGAAGAATCTCGAAGTTTACACAAATTGAATGAATCATTGTAAACATAAAAAGCAAAAGGTTTCATTAGTGGCGGATGAATCAAAGCGGGAATAAAAAACTGATATATTTTGTTATGACCCGTTTGCAACAACTAATAAATAATAAGACACACATGACGCCTTTATTATCACAACAGTTTTTAAAGTTTATTAACAACTGCGTTTATTGAAATAAATACATAAAAAATAATAAATTAATAAAGTTTTTATTTCTTATATAATTAAGCGACAGGTGGGTTACTTACCTGTGCTTTTCATAGGCGTCTAATTATATGATGTTTATACACTTTATTACACAGCGTGACGTGACGTGGTGAAAAATATAGTCCCCAGTCACCTGAATGAGGGAGGTTTTGTTATTTACGCAGCTATTCAAGGTAATATCATTTAAACAGAATCCATAACAGCCAAAAAGACAGAAAGAGGCGAAACAGCTGAGGTTGAAACCCAAAACCACAGTAATAACGTGGATTCTGACTTGGCGTAAAGGACACAGGCGTCAAGTTCACTTGCCCAGTCACCGTGACGTCGCAGTATAGAAATTCACAGAACTCTACTAAACGCGTGCAAGAAGGACGAGAGAGTCCCGAGACCGGACCAGAGACCAGCCTGAGGATTACTGCGGACCTGGCCTCATCTTTGGAATTACAGATTTATTTAAAGACTATCGGGACGTTTGATTTTGTGTTGGATGCGTCTGTGAGGAATCGCTACTCGGACGCCGTGCTGTAGGAGTGCCTGGACCTGGACCTCAGGACTTTGAGCGTAGGCCGCGTGCAATGGCGTCGCGCGCACTTGCTATGGTTGCTATGGGCTTCTGGCAATGGCTCTTGTTGTTGCTCTTGTCGCTAATGTATCTTTACATCAATGTCCCGCCCCCATCATGCGTTCATGTCCAATAAAGGCTTTGATCGGATGACACTGTGGGAGAAGAGGATTAGAAGAAGGCAGATGGAAGCAATAGGTTCGCTTGTGCTGCGAACACCAGATGTGACCTTGGGTTGCGCGGAACCCTTATGCCACACATTTATATGACATGTGTGTTCTTGGATTTTACACTTTTTTTGCCAAGAATTTAGAAACAGAGATTAAGCAGAAATCCGATAATAGTGAGAATAGGCGATGTGAACCACTGACTTAACCTTGGAACAAGGTTAACCGTACTAATTGTCTCGTCTGTTATACAAGATTCAAAAACATTTTAGTTCAGAAAGCAAGAGTTCTGTGAA